TACTTCATGTAATTACAACTAGAACCCAAAAAATTTCCACAAAAGCTAAAACTTCATTAAAGGAGCAAAACAATTTGTCCTTTTAGTGATTTTGGACCTTTACGTAAAAACGTAAACTTTTGGGTCAAAGTACAAATACACAAAAGTATCAAAACTTTATGTAATTGCATGAAAGCCCCACAAAGACCCTAATTGAGTAGGGTTGCCGGCCATTTGAAACAAAGTATAAAAAAAATTTCAAAGTTTTGTAAGTGGGGTGTGTGAAATGGAATAAATCATTACACACCAACCCACTAAAATTTCTTTAATTTTTCAAAATAAATATCTAATATATTTAAACATAAGAAATATTTCAAAACAAAAACTTTATGAAATAAATCAAAACTTTGAATCAAAACACCAAACCTTTTGTTCTTGGCAAGAACATACCAAGAACAATGAAGAACATTCATGAAAACCCATAAGAGCTCCATGAACATTCTTCACCCAAAAACATACCAAAACCACTCAAACTTAAGGGAAATAACATACAACCATACTAGGGTACATAGGGGTTCCAAAAGTCACTTTAAAACACTTTTAACAAGTCAAACAAGAACCCAAAAATCCACCCTTTGGATTTGGCCGAATTTCCCAAAAAACATGGCACCAAATTTTAGCTCCAAAATTCATGCTCATATGAACTACATCTACAACATTTGAGATGGCAAATTTTCTAACAAAATTTACATTCAAAAAAGCAAGAATAAAGCTTGTAACAATTACAACATTCAAATCACAAACTATGAACTACAAAACCCAAAAGGATTCACCAACTATTAGACCTAGGCTCTTGATACCACTTGAAGGAAGATTTGTGAAAAACATGTTCATTTAAGCAACATCAATAGCATGCAATTAACAATTAAAGGCGGAATCATGCTTGTATGCACTTAAAACAAAACATTTACCCATGAAATTCAAAGCCTAGTAGATAGGTGAACCAAGACTCAACTCAAAACAAAGTGAGTTGAGAAATCAATACCTTTGTAGATTCCTCTTTGCATAAGCAAAGGCTAATCACCCAAAGAGAGGGCCTTCATTCCTTGCATCTTAGATCCATGGATTTGGATGGATGAAAATGTTTCTCCAAGTTCCCAAAATTGAGAACCTCTAATGATTCATCACCAAGGCATAATGAAGAAGAAATTAGTGACCTTGGAGGAGTTTGATTGCTAGATGATCCCTCCAAGGTGGCCTAAATTTTAGAGAGAAAGGAGAGCTTGTGTTCTCATCCTTTCCCCAAAAATTACCATTAATGAATTTTGGCTATAAAGTCATACTTATTCCTTAATTCATTTGAGTGGCAAACTTGTAAATAAGTCCAAAACCACTCATTCTTTAACATGGGATTTATTGGGCTATTTGGGCCTTTGTGAATCATTATTCATTAAGTTGTCACACAACTTAAGTCAATGGACTTGACGTTCGAAGCCCATTGGGCCTTAAGGTCCAAAACTATCCCGAGGTCTTTTAACGAACTTATTCGTTTGATTAATAATCATATTAATTCATCCTTGCCATAAATAATTAAACCATTTAATTATTCTTACTCATCTCCGTTGAATCTTCAATCTCTACCTTACACGGTGTACGATCCATTAGGTTCCTTTTAGCGAGGCAGTGGGCGATTCAAACTCTTTCAAATCGATTGTGAATTGGAACTTACTTTCAATTCTCCCGTTAGTGATAATACACTTTTAGGGCTTCCACAAACCATGGTTGACGCCTAGCAGCATGTCATGGTTACCCAAGCTAATCAGAAGAGGTGGAGAACCTATTCAGTTTTAGGATTACAAATGCAATACGGTCTTTCTCTAATACAATACTCTTGACCACATTGTTTGGTTTGATAGTTTATTCATGTCTACTATCCAATGTGAGTCTTGTGCTTATATGATTACCTTGAATGTGATTTGGAACACATTCCTAAATCTCATTCATACTTTGGCCAAAGATTCTTAATCATATCATAGAGTATTCTCCCTCAAACAGTTTGAAGGTTAGAGATCCCTTGTTGCGCATTCATTTGCCTCCATGGCTAAGTGGCTTAACCCCAACGATGCCATGGACACCCTCCTGATGGAGTGACTTTGACATAATCAAAGATTAAGGACCTAACCACAAGACAACTGTGATGCCTCAGGTCAAAAGACTAATTTGCATTATCCCAACCATGAGTTCTCATGTGACATGAATATGAGAACTCTTCGTTAATCGTGTTCAGTGAACTCATTCTCTATTGAGCACCTACGTACTTGTCTTGATGTCACACACACCAATGACTCGAGACTAGTCACTCTCCCTGAGAGAAGACATAGCACGTACTGATCTTAACGGACTGTCAATGCCCAATTGACAATCCTATGATCAGGAACGTTTAGGATGTGTCAACGAAAGAATGGTCTCATGAATCTAACTTCTTTTAGATCGCATTCTTCCAATCACATATTCCTTGGACTTATCGTTTAAGCATATAACATTTATATGAGACGGCTCAAACAATAATATTTGCCCTTAATATTAAACTAGATTAGTTTAACATGTGAAATGTCCATAAAGTATCATCATATGATTGGTTTTAGGGCACATTTCCAACAGTCAATGTAACATCTCACATCGCCCAGGGGAGTGATCCTTAAATGTATATTCACATCCTTACCTAGCACGAGGCCTTTTGGGAACTCACTGGCTTTGGGTTCCATAGGAACTCCGAAGTTAAGCGAGAAGGAGGCTAGAGCAATCCCATGATGGGTGACTCACAGGGAAGTTGCTCGTGAGTTCCCAAAAACAAAACCGTGAGGGAATGATAAGCCCAAAGCGGACAATATCGTGCTACGGTGGTGGAGCGGGCCCAGGAAGTGATCCGCCCCGGGCCAGGATGTGACAAATTTGGTATCAGAGCCTAACCCTGGCCGTGGTGTGCCGACGAGGACGTCGGACCCCTAAGGGGGGTGGATTGTAACATCCCACATCGCCCAGGGGAGTAATCCTTAAATGTATATTCCCATCCATACCTAGCACGAGGCCTTTTGGGAACTCACTGGCTTCGGGTTCCGTAGGAACTCCGAAGTTAAGCGAGAATGAGGCTAGAGCAATCCCATGATGGGTGACCTACTGGGAAGTTGCTCGTGAGTTCCCAAAAACAAAACCGTGAGGGAATGGTAAGTCCAAAGCGGACAATATTGTGCTACGGTGGTGGAGCGGGTCCGGAAAGTGATCCGCCCCGGGCCTGAATGTAACAGTCAAGATCGTTAGGTCTGAACTATGAAGACACCAGTTGTTACTTGTTAGGCACACAACTGCGAGGCTTATCCTAGGTTTAGCGGTAATATTAGTGGTTTGTCTTCGTTTGTTTAGAAAATTATTCAAGTTCAATTAACATTACCACACAACGGTATATATATTTATGATGAGTTGGATATATTGCGGCTAGCCTGTTCTGATCGCATATGCTTCAAAAGTTGGGGACTTCAGCTGAGCTAGTAGGTTTTAGGGGATTAATCAAAAGAAATAAATTTCTTGCCAACTTCTGTACATGTTACTTAATATTTCTGACTTCATTGACTTCTGTTTTCCCCATCACTTGAGTTCAAGAGATTTTTTTAGTGTGTTCAAAATACAGATACATACTATACCATTATATAAGTGGATGGACACCTAAAAAAAAAAAAAAAAATTCTTCCACTTATATACTGACATATAGTGTACTGTCTATGTTCGGACACATTACAAAATCTCTCTTGAGTTCAGCCTGTTAGCTAAGTTTGGGGTTTTTCTTTGATATCGAACTTGTTCTTTATGAAAGTCGAACTTAAGACCTACTAGCTAGTTAACGAACTTATTCTTTTATAAAGTCGAACTTAAGACTTCTAAATTACATGTAAAAATAAATATCACTTGATCCTCCTATTAGCGGCGTGCATGCTATTTCAGTTTCATTGATCATGTACCTATGATTTTGTTTCTCTATCCCTTCTCTCCATGGATTATACGAGACAGAAAATGTGCGAAATTAATGTGGAGAACTCTATGGGTAGGACTTAGGACTCACAAGAGAATTAATGGCATCCAAGATTAAGAGATTCAGAAAGCCTAATCACATGTTGATGCTGTATTGTCAAAATCTCTAGTCATTTTCTTTCATGCGATAAAATTAATTCAATCGAGAAAGCTAATTACTTAAAGATAAGATAAGAGAAAATCAATTAATGTAGTATGAACATGTAAACTGAAAATTTATAGATGTTTCAGTTAAAAGATGCGATTATGAAATAGAAACTTGGAGAAAAAAAGAGAGGAATATGTGCCCCTTAGTTAAGGAAATGGGCATTAGAGAGTGTGATAGTGATGAACAATCTTGCTTAGCTAGCCAATGGTACCTAAGTAAAACAAGGACCAAAACTTCAATGAGGGGTACTTGGTTAGGTATGCGAGTAAGTTCATTGAGTTAGCTAGTACTTGGGAAGGCTTGGCTTGAAAGGCCTCTATGGTCTTAATCAAACTCAAAATATCTAAAGGCTATAACTCTTGAGATTATATGACGTCGTGTTGTCAGATTGTAAATGAGAATGGTTGATCGATTTGATTGTTGTTTAATCGATTGTGTGGTTCAGATTGATCAGTTTGAGTCGTTCAATTTGATTTCTCCTCAGTCTAAGATTGCCCGTGTCAAAACCTTGTGAGTTGGTAATTGCCCACTAACATTTCATAAATACATTCACCTAACCCCAAAAGCTAGCAGCCCAAGTGGTTCCCGCCACCCCCCATCAGGCCCATACTAAAAATACCCAAAACAAATTTTAATAAAATCTATAAAATAAATAAAGTAATCAAAAGGTCAGAAATTAAAGCTTCAAGTATTTATTTATTTAATTAAATAAAAAGCAAAAAAATCCTAGAGACATATCCTTATCCAAAACAAGACAGCTCCACAAGCTGAAGCTTTGCAGCAGCAAAAAATGGCGACAATGCCACCATCCTCCCTGCAACTCCCCAACCAGTTCCCACTCACGTCCTCATCGACCAAACCCCATTCGCCCAAACCCTTCTTCTCCTTCGCAACCCGAGCCACTGACCCGGAAACGCCACCCTCCGAGCCATCGTCCGAATCCGGTTCCGGCCCGGATGACTTCGACAGCAAGCTGAGCCAGGTCCGACTCCGATACCGCAGCGGCACTGGAAAGAAAGCGGAAATCCGGAAGACCAAGAAGTCCAAAAGCGGGTCCGGATCCTCATCCGCGTCCAACTTGTACCTTCCACCGGTGCCGCTCAAGGAGCCGGTGTCTGGAGGGTTGAAGGTAAATTTCGGGTTCAGCCCGTACAGCGAGAGGTTAAACGGGCGAATCGCAATTCTGGGTCTAACGGCGTTGCTGCTGGTGGAGCTGGCGACTGGAAAGAGCGTGTTGAAGTATCATACGCCTCCGGTTGTGCTGGTGCAGGTTTACTTTGTGGCGGCGGTTGCGGCGGTGTATATTAAGTATGAGAAAGAGAAGGTGAGCGTGTGGCCTCAGTCCGCTCCGCCCAAAGAGTGAACAGAAATTTAAATTATACATGTGATTGTTCATTTGTTAAATTTTAATTAATTTGGATTTGTTTTTGTAATGCAAATTCCATCTTTGATTATAACATTAAACGTTGAGTGTGTCATTCAAAATTAGGATTATGTTTTTTGCGTGCGGCTTAAGAAATATGTTATAAACCATTTGGAAACAGTTTTACCATTTATCGCGTCATATAAACATTGTCCATTCTGCATTCCTCTTCATCCCGTTGTGTCCCGATTTTCAAGTGCGATAAAAATGCTAACGAAAATAGCTTAGCATGCATTGTAAATTTGTAATGAAAATGCAACACTTGAAGATGGTCTTGAATTCCCAAGTAGCATGCATCAAGTGCTCCTAACAATGATTTTTTACAAAACATGGAAATGTTTCTCAAACCCAACTCTCTAGGCGCTAATCCGAGAGCTGGGTTTGAGAAAATACACCAATGCTCCACGTTATAACATGTGCACCAGTAACACCTCGTGACGACGTTACAATAAAAATAATTCCCTCATGGAATCGTGTAACAACACTTTCTTATGTGTTATCCTTGCCCAAAACGAATCCACTGACACTAGGGATATGCCCACAACAGTAACACACTCAAAGAAATAATGGATTAAATCCAAGAAAACAACTTTCTAAAATTTCTTATTCTTTCTTCTCTGTATATTTACCATATTCTTTACCTGCCCAAAAAAGAAAGAATGGGTATTAGATATTAACTAATTCGGATTCTTTTCCACTAAATATTCCAATTACACATCAGCAATCTATCTTTCTTTTTCTTTCCTTTCTCTAATGTTACAGGGAACCCCGAATGCCCTATCAGTCTGGGAAGTTGCCCACTCCTTTCTTGTGCATTAGATTGCGAAGGCAGGATCATCTTCTGCTGCTCTCGACTCGAAATAAAATCGGGTACTAACAAATTCGCTATAAAGTTGTCCTCGTCAAAAAATCGTTAACAGCAAGAGTGGCGTCTCCATGGGACACCGCATCAGTCTCCGGCATGTAAAGACTCGAGGATGTAGGCTGCACTTCAAACATAACCATTTGGTCAAGCCACTGTCTACATACAAAATATTGAACAGCTAATGCACAATTCAATCGAAAAGACATTTGGAACTACGAATGTGTATATCCGTTGTGAACAGAAATGGTGTAATTGAAGCCTACCTTCGTATCAAGCTGCATTTCTCCATTGTTATCTACAACGAGGCACGCACCGTGTACTTTCAACCATTCAATGCATTCGTCCAATCCCTCCGAATCCTTCTCCTCACTTTCCTCATTTGTGGGTGTAATGGTGGTAAATCCCAAAATTTGTGCAACATAAGGAACAGGTATCGTAGGCCGATATGATCGACACATGCAGCTCACTGCCTTATACCGCATCTTTTCAACATATAAATCTGCAGAAGGAAAAATGTTATAAGATAATCCCTTTTTTATATATTTATATTTCAGAAAGTAAAAGATAATTTCATTTGAAAGAGATGCCCACCCATTAGGCAGGTGCTCAAGTTGGGAGCTGTCTTGTAGAGCCTGAAGAACATAACATAATTTCCTGAAGTAACAGCTGAACGAACCGCAAGAGCATGCTTAACAGCTTCATCTCTTTTTGCTTCAACTGACAAGCTACATTCAGCAAACATTTGACAATATATCTCACAGGGTTATCTTACATGGTTTGATAAACTGGAAGGGGAAAGTTGCAATAATCGTGCTATACATGCAACAAAGAGGCAAAGTTTTACGAAACAAGTAGTGAAATTCGAGAACCTTAGTCCATGCATGGTTTGACTCATTTCATCAAATATGATCTCTTTTTTTGACGAAAGAGTAGTAATTACTAACTTACATAAATCAGGTGACCAATCATTAATTTCTCAAATTTCATTCTGCACCAAAGGCAATATAGGACATGAAAAGTGTGACTTAACACTCTCTTGAGTGCTAGAGTGTGAACATGCACACATTTATTTCTACTTGGTATTTCAAATATAGAATAACATTGTTGGTAGTCAAGTAGAAGACAATAAAACATAATTTTGTAACTTTATAGTGTCCCCGTATCTGCCAAATGTGTATTTCTATAAACCAAAGTTCACTACCAATGGACCCACTCACGACTCCGAGTATTTCTGGAAGTTTAATCAACAAAAAAGAACAGTCATCTTTACTTGAGGGTTACTGACCTTGCCATTGATGATACTAGATCTCTGTTATTATTTGAGTGAAGGATAACACAAAGTAAGTTGTATGCAGAGAACTCCATATGACATCCCTCAATACCTTCAGCATAGAGAGATTTCAACTGTGACGCGCACTGAAAACCACATGAAATACTGTTATTCGACACCCGAGCTTTTGAGGAATAAATAACTTCAAACATAAAAATTGCTCTACAAGATTTGTTTATTTTTTTTCTTTCTAAAAAAGGTACATATATTTTTAACTGCACCGGATGAATTTGTATCTCCATAAATAAACAAAAAAAATGTTATAAACAATTATCAGTATTGAAGCCAAACTAATCAAATTTACTGATTCCCGTAGATAATTTACCACAACCTCCCTTGTCAAGGTATTATTCAAGTTCTTCCAATGTCATCTTCTTATTTGTGTCATGCCATAAAATATTTACAAAATTGTTTTCAACCCCACTAAGATCACAAACCTGATTATACTCGGGCAGGTCCCCAACTTCCACTGCTAAGCGAGCATGGGTTTCGTACACCTGGTCATGAAATTAGGCAGAATGAATGACAAACTGAGGTGAACATACCTCTTACAAAGATTCGGGTCAGCAGTTGAAAACAAAAGATAATATTACAGACAACGGAATTTGAAAAAAAAAAATAAAAAAAAATAAAAAAAAAACTTCCGCAAAAGTTTAGAGTTTAAATATTGTATTAGGATCTAAAGAAGCAAACGTAAAAAATTATAGGTGATCAAAGTGACTCTAATTAGCCAAAAAGACCTGGTTAAGTTGATTTAAATAGTCAGCAGTTGGTTTTGAAAGATATGGCAGTCAACCAGCAGAAAAGGGGTAAGTAAACTAGAGCCCATATGATAAAGGATTAATAAAAACCATAAGATATCAAATATACCTTTACTGTTAGGTGATTGCGAATTCGTTGCACAGTCAGATCCTGACGAATGGACTTCAACTGATCACATTTATATAGGTAATTCTTTTGGGAATCTTGCACCATAAGCAAAGCTTTTTCAAGAACATCCTCTGGCCTTACCTGTCATGTAGAACAGATTCTTTAGCAGATTAGTTACATCACACATCAAATCCACCAGTTCATTTGATTTATTTAACTAGGATGTTCATAGAAGAGAAAGATATGAGATATAGATTATTACAGTGGCAGGATCAGGAGCAGAAGTGAGGCGCAAATAACGTTTCTCAATCTCCTGGCAGGTCCCCTTAACAGTAAGAGAATCCCAGTCAATGTCCTCAACTGCCCTGCTGCCACCATCTTCAAAATTTTTGCTAAGCACCAAGGCATTAGCCCTTCTGGCATACAAGTTTCCGCCACCAGCTTTTTTTGGTTTGAAGTGATTATTTTGTGCCCTATGTCCTTGCACTCTTTCAAAACGCCTAGAGCGATTTTCACGTCTCTTTCTTTCCTCTGGTGAATCCGCAAGGTCCATTGCTCCAGTGTAATATGCTGATGAACTTTGTTCCTTGTCACTATCACTAGATGCATCACCGTTCTCAGCAGTACTTACATAAGAAAGGCGCTGCTTCTTAAATGGTTTCTGGGTTATCTTACTTCCATTTTTCTGCTCCTGTGAATTAAACTTTCCATTACTTGTATTGCCATCTTTGAACCCAGCACTCCCCATCCATGGCTGCATGTGTGAACACACATTATATAAGGCTAAGCTAAAAATGTTTCAAAACTATTATGCTTAGCTTATACCATGTATGATCCGGATATTGTAAGTAAAAATAAAATATGCATCTATACATAAACATATATGTACTTAAGATTAAGACAATTGGGTTTCCTTTCCAAGAATAAATAAAAGGGATACGTTGACAAAATAATTACCTTTCTTTGCTTATCATTGACATTCATCCAAGAAAACTTTAAACTGTCATTGTTGACAGATGCCGATTTCTCAACTGGCTTCTCCTCTGGTAGAGGTTCCCATCTACTCTTGGATCGTCTATTCGGACTTCTTTTGTACTTTGGCAATGATGAAACAAGGTTTGAAGAATGTAAACTACTGCACAACCAGAGCACTTAAAGGTCAATGGTCTATACATTGGGATACAATCATTTGTACCATTAAACTAACCATCTACTTAAACCATATTTTGTAGACCACATGATGTGGAGGTTGATGGTTGGATTCCTTCTTTAATGATTTAAAGATAGAATCCAACCATTAACCGCCACATCATATAGTCTATAAAATATGGTCTAAAAAGATGGTCTCCCTAGCATTTTCCTTAAACCAATCAACCCACATAGAGTAGGTTAGAAAATGTGACAAAATAAAAAACCAAATCGGGTTAATAGCAGATCACATTTCAATTTTCATACAGGGGTTACCAAAATATTCATAAACAAATGAGTTCAAGGTCCATAAATGCACTGTAAACATACAAGCCCACGGAAGGAGAGAGAAAGAGAGGGAGTGAGATAGTTACTCTTTCTTAACAGCATCTTCATTTGGCAGTGGGAAAAGAGGCTCAGTATCCCAGTCTTGCGTATAAAGTGTACCATCAGCTGTTGCCTTGGTGATAATCTGAAATGGAAATTAAGTATTTTTACATACCATATACATCCCATCTAAAAATACACACACACAAACACAAGAAGTATAGAGAAAAATAGAATTTGCATGCTTCAGGTCGATGGAATTAACAAAAAGTTTAGCAGCTTAGCGGCAACCCAGACCATGCATCAGCCCCAATTTGCAAACAGAAGTTCCAAGACATACAGACACTATGTTTCCTTGAAACATTGCCCTGAGAAGTATAGAGTTAAAAAAAGAGAAAAAATTGACTATTGGTTTTAAGTCACAGAAAATCATTGCATCATGCAGAGACCTCAAAAGACTTAACTCTTCACAACAATGTATATAGTGGTTTT